GAATGCACAAGAGCCTATTAAAATTGTGTAGATCATTCTAGAATCGATTTCCAAATTCGGTAAAAACCCTGACTGTAGTGGAAGTTTGTTGTTACATGAAATGTTGTACAGAACTCATTGGTTCTGAAACTTCGCCAGTATATAGTTGTTACCTCTCTAAATTGGAGATCAAGTTCAGATCCGATTCAAATCCAGTTTATCACTTACCTTTTTATTGCCAGAATGTTTGCCATGTAAAGCGTAATGTGATGATTCTCGATAATTCTTGGCATAATAAACTAAATCATCAAGTCCAAGCATTCCTATGTAAAATGTATGCATATTTCATTTTTAGATTAATGAAGAAGATATTTAACATTCAAATAAGTGTGGATATTACCCATGCCTCTAAAATCAGTTGCAGGATCTTTTCCTTGGAAACCAATCTTTTTAAATAAATAAAAAAATATATCAGTAAAGTCTTCAATTAATTGGATAAATAATAAAGTCATTATCATTATTATTGTTACCTTTGTCCACTGTTCAGTGAGTCGACCCTGTAGCTTTTCATCTGGTTTTAATAAATCCCATAACTATTATCATTGTCATTAAATATTATTATTATATACATAAATAAATAAATAAAAAATATATATAAATATAAAATCAAACACCTCTAATAATTTTTTTTCATGAGATTTATCTTCAGAATTGTATTTTGTTTGTGCACGAAAATTAATCTCAATTGTAAGTTTATAAGTGTCACAGATTTGAGTCAAACATTCATATAAAACAATAGCAGCTGGTCTTTTAATTAATATCATAAAATTACAATCATTATATGTAAGAAAGTGGATAAGCAAGTGAGCGGGTAACGATTATCACTTCTTTAAACAACTTACGTTCTGTTCGATCCATTGTTTGGAAACTTTTTTTTGTAAAGAATCATTTGAGTAACTTCTTCAGGATTGCATTCTTTTAATTCGAGCTTCCTTCGTTCCATCTACATCATAATAATAATAATCATTACTAAAATCAAATATTTTAATGATAACGACAACAAAAGATGTAAAAAACAACTTACCACAAGCTTGCTAGAATAAAGAATAGAACGATCTATCAAATCATACAATTGTTTCTTTTAAAAAATTAAATAAATAAATATTAATTCCCCAAATAATGAAAAAAATCATTTCGCTTACCAACACGATATACGGACTCAACCGGTATTGAAAATTCTTCCGAGGAAACAGAAGAAAAAGAGGCAATTCTTGGTAACATAGGTATTCTATCACCTTCACAACCTTCATCCGACTCTGATCCCGATCCCAAATCCTCTTCTACTTCATCGAATTCTGTTGAAAGCCCAAGTTCTTTTGCACTACTAACACAAATTCGGGAAAGTTCTGTTGTGTTATTATAAATACGTATTACGCCTTTCCAAAATTTATATAAAATAAGTAAAAAAGTTGATTGGTAAACTTTGGTGAAAAATAGTACTTTTAAAATCACTAGATAATTCATGATTATTTTATTCCTATTAATTTTAATGAAAGTAAATAAAAGAAAATCTTCACATGCTTGTAAACATTAATATTAAAATTTGCCGGCTGTTATAGTTGATGATCTACCTCAAAAGAAAAATTTTTAATCTTCATTTTTTAAAAAAGGAAATGATTGATAATGATAAAATAAACAAGTTTTATCATTCAAATTTAAAGGTATATATTAGAGGTTGGAATCAACTAAAATAGCCAACTAAACTTTTTTTTGAACAACTAATAGTCAACTATTTTAATTGATTATTTAGTTGACTGTTTTAGTCAACTAATTAGTCAACTACTAATACTACTAATAATAATACTATGCTAATATTATTATTGTCTGACCAATTATGATTTTTGTGTTTATCATTCAAAATGGAAAATTTCTATATGGAAGAGTGAGTATCAATACCATCAATATGATGATGATGACAATAGTAGTGTTGTTGATGATAATTTTACATGTGAATGAATAAACACTTCCAATACAAGGTCCAATAGTTCATTGGCTTCAAGTTCCAATGATTTAAGCAGTGGTTCCAAAAGACCTTTAAAAAAACGAATTGTAACACATGGTTTTGTGTGGAAGTATTTTGAAAAAATGAAAGATTCAAATGGAAATGAATTCATAATTTGCAAGTTTTTAAAAAAAAAACAAAATATTATTATTAAAAAAAAATCTTTTTTTGAATTATTTGAACTTTTAACTGTTAATTAGTGTTAGTTAAATAACATGCTGATCATTTGAACTTTGCTGAGCAGTTATTTAACCAATCTGCAAGTTATTTAACAAAGTTCATTACAAATATGGAAAACAGTATCAAATATTATTATTATATGTACTGTTTTCTGGATCCAGAGTTAATAACTTTGATTTTAGGAAAGAACAATGTTTATTTACACCTTGGTTTAAAAATTTAGGTGATAGAAACAAACTCGTGCATATTATCTAACCCAATTTTTTAATTATTTGCATGTAATTCCAAATTTGGTTAGACAATATGATCTGTGCACATAAATCAATCAATTTATGTCATGTGATTTTATTTGAACCAAAGTTCATAAGTTCAAATGATTTTTTGAACCAGATATTTTACTGACAGTTCAAAAGTTAAATAACTGTCATTGCCAACACTGACTAAAATAGTTAGCTAAAATAATCAATTAATAGTCAACTAATTAGTCAACTAATTAGTTGACTAAAGAAATTTTGACCAATTAGTAGTCAACTAAGGATTTTTTTGGACAATTCCAACCTCTATTGATTATAATAAAAAAACACATTCTTTTGTTTAAAATGTTAACATTATCATTACAATAATCTACTATTCTTGTTTGTATTTGTTGTGAATTTTATAAGAAACTTCACTTTTTAATCTTTTGACATGCATGTCCTGCATTAAAAATATTAATAAAAAATACAAAAACATAATACACATGTGAACTCAATAAGTTGTTCATTTATTTATATTATCAAGCACTTTAAATAATTATTGCTGCATCTGACTTATTGAGTTTACATGTGTATTAAGAAAATTAATTATAAATTATAATGTTATAACAGAATCATCATGAACATCCAATTTTTTAACCCGCATACAATATTCACAGTATTATATAACTGTTTATTTACATATCTCTTATTTACATTAATTAACATACATTATTATACATTAATTATCATACATTGTTATATTATTGTACATTAATGATAACAATACATTATTAATTGTGCATTATTATGTGCAATTCATCTTATTAAAATTATAATAGCCAAAAAGAGCAAGTATCAATTATCTGTTATATCAAGATAAATTTATTATAAATGACATATATGGATTTTTAAAGAAACATCCAGTAAATTGAGTGTATATGAAAAAATCTGTTAAATTTGTTAAATCAAGATAAAATAATTATAAGAGTGCTGACATATATACTTGGTGGACAAAAGTTTGCATCCAAAATTTCTTTTCAATTTATTTCAAAACTATACTAATTAAAATATTGTAATC